AAAACACACAAATATCTCAAAATAAAAGTAAACACTGCCGATTAATTTCCCATAAATTAGTTTGTGAGTATAAGTTGGAATTAGTCGCATGGGCATGTCCAGGTTCATTGCACATTAAAGTCTCAAATAATTGCTTATCCAATGACACATGCCACGTCAGTATATTATGAATTTCTATATTTTGTATATATAATGGAATATATATTAATGTTTATATATAATCACAAGTTACTACAGCTTGATTATTATAAATAATATTTGCAACATTATAATGTATGTGTCCTTAAAATAAGACTAGGTTCAACCAAATGCAATCAACTTTGGGTAATTGTTTTCTAGAAGTATTTTTAACCAATCTAAGAGTAGTATACACTTACTCAGTACACCCGTCCATGATATATATATATATATATATTTTTTTTTTTAGAAAATTGTATAAAAATATAAAACATATTATTTTAAATTGAATATTTGACTTTGACCTTTTTACTTTTTATAATAAATATTTATTATTATTATTATTATTTATTATTTATTTTTGTATAAAATATTTTATATTTATATTATTATTTTTTAAAAAAATAGTATTGACAGACATTCGTTTGTTTTCTATATATATATATTTATATATGTAAAATAGTAATACTTCCTCCGTCCCGTTGGAAGAGTGGCGTTTGCTTTTTTACGTAGATTTTTCAATATTAGTATTATATTGGATTGTAGTAAAAAAGACAAAAATACTCCTATTAGTATGGTGTAATATAAAAGTAATGACATTTGTGTAATATATTGTAAGTTGAAAGGGTATTTATTATGTTAATTAGGTAGTACAATTACTAAATTAGGAAATGATAATCTTGTTTTGGGACAGACGAAAATGAAAAATTGTAACCTTTTAATGAGACGAATGGAGTATTATATTTGTATATAATACAAATAAAAAAGCAAAAAAAATTCTATTAGTATTGTAATATAAAAATAATAATATTAATATAATATTATAAATTATATGAGTTTCTTTAATACTTAGATAAACAATGCAATTACTAAATAAATATATATATTTTATTTTGAATATTTTCTAGGAAAAAATAATATGAACACAAAATTGGATAGTAAATAATATATAAAAGAAATAATAATAATAAACATATACTCCATTATTGTAAATTCCAAATACTATGATTAGGCTTATATAATTAGTTTTGAAAATTTTATCATTATTCATAATTAAATAATATCATATTAAATTTTTTTCTTATAAACTTAGATAAAAATACTTATAATCCACTCGTGGTTTAGAAAATATGCATCATTCTCCTTAATTGTATAAGATTTCTTTATGTTTTCAAAATATTGCACAAAATTTTTTTTTTAAAGAAATTATGTGTAATATTTTTAAAAAATACAATAAAATTTTATGAAACTTTTAGAAGATTTTATACAATTTTTTTTCAAACCACAACTAAATTATACTCCCTCCGTACTAATACAATAGTCCTATTTTGTTCGTCCCAAAACAATAATCTCATTTTCATAAATAATTATATCACTATAAAACTACGGTTATTTTTTTATTATTATTACACAATTGCCACTATTTTTTACACTAATACACTTACAAGGACAAAAAAATCTTTTACCTATACTTTTTACCTACTGCCAATATAATATCAATATTCCTTAAATCACGTGACAAAAACAATCCATACTATACATCTATGCAAATAGATCATTGGTATGCTTGGAATTTTTAGTCCCACACATTTTCAAGCAGAGGCATGTGTTGTAAGAATTGAGGATAAAATTCAATTAATATTTATGCCAATAGGGACGACGGCAACAACAGACAAAAAAATAAAAAAATAAGAATAATAAATAAGAATAATAAAAAATAAAAAAAAATTGGAAAATGCATCTGTCCTAACTTGTGTTAGAGGTTCGGACTTGTTTTATTATTATTATTATTATTATTATTATTATTACTAGTCCCTTAATAATTTATCTATTTTTTTATTTTGGTTCATAATAAAATATTCATTTTTTTTTAATAATGTACTATCTACCTAACATTGCAAATACACTTCCACTTTACAATATATTACACAAATGTCATTATGTTTATATCATACAATACTAATAAGGTTAATTTAGTTTTTTTATCTTTATTTCTATTTTATCCCAATATAATACTAATATTTTCAAAACTCTATGCAAAAAGTAAATAAATATATAGATATGGGACGAATGGAGTATTATTTTAAATATGAGTGTATCGATCATATAATAAATGTATTTTATATTAAATTATTAAAATATTTTAGATTTAGTATATTAAGATTTAGATTTGATTTTATTTATATATTAGATTATTTAAATTTAAGTTATGTTTTATGTTGCCGTCTCTTATGTGGATGAGTAATACAAAGCAATTTTCTAATTTCTAGAAAATATTTTTACATAAATTAATGAATTTTTATGAATGAATAATATATATTGTATATTATTTATAATCATGTATATATATTGTATTTTTTTAATAAGATACATTGAGAAATGTCTTAAGTAACAATTTTGGGGTGATTGCATTTGTCAAAAACATATGTGTGTTTGTTTGTGGATTTTAGTTTTTGAATTAAGATTTTTTAATAGTAAAAAATTAAATTTGAATAATTATTTAATGTGATATAAATAGTATTTGATTTGATATTTTGAATGTAAAATAAATTCATAATATAATATAAAAAAAATTAATTATTTAATTTGATATTTTTTTAAAAAAAAGAATTTAAATAGAAAAAACCTGTCTTAAAACCCACAAAAGAATATAACCTGGTGTTTTTGGTTAAGTTTCAAATCCAGATAATCACTATTAACCTTGTGGCACTGATACCATATTACATGATGTAAATAATTGTTTTATTTAAAAATCTTATACTTGTAGGGATATGCATCATTTTTATATCTTCATACACGCCCCATTGTGTGCAATAAGATATACGCTATCATACAAATCTTGTACGTAAACAACAACGAATTAGGGTGGAGGACTTATTTAATATTGACTATCGGTAAAATAATAAAAAATATATATTTATTGAGAATCATGTCTAAAAAAAATTTATTGGATAAACAAATTTTATTTTCTCTAATAAAATATCAAATTCAAATATTATTTAAATCATATTCCAAATCATACTCCTGTCCCAAACAAAAATCAAACAAATTAAACTCCATTTAAACCATAGTGATGAGAAATTTTAGTAAATCAAACAAAATTAAAGAAAATAATATTTGAATTTTGGGTTTAAATTAAATTATTATATATTTTTAATATTATATAAAAAAATTAAATTAATAAGATTTTTCAATTCAAATTTTTACTATGTACTGCTCCAAAATTGCATCTAAACACAAGCCAAATGATCATGCTAATATGATAAAGATTAAAATTCACAATAATATTGTCCATGCTATTAAATTTACCCTTTACATATATTACACACTACAAAGATAATAAAATTAAAATAATCCAAACCATATAGTTAATACTCTCTACATCAAATCAATTGAAATGTCCCATTAATAAAAATGTTTTTATTTTTAATAAATTATATTTATTTAAAATATATTTAATAAATATAAATTAATTTAATTAACTTCGTAATATAGGATCTCATAACTTCTTTATTTATATTTCTCTTAATTAATAAACAAATAGTATTAATTTTATCTAATTTTAAAACTTTCTATTTTTTACTATAAAATAAATAAATATATATATATATTTCAATATATTACTATAAATTTTTACTCATAATATCCATATAACATGTATTTTACTAAATATAATTTTTGAAATGTTTAAACATATATTTTAAAATATTAATTATACATTAATTCTTATTTAAAAAATATTAATTACGCAGCTCATATAAAAATAATAATACTTCCTCCGTCCCAAGAGAGTTGTCTTGGTTTTTCATTTTCGTCCGTCTCAAAACAATTGTCTTGTTTCCTTATTTAGTAACTGTGGTCCCTACTTTATAACAAAATTATTCCTAATGTTACAAACTGTCTCTAATTATTACTCTAATCTACTTTTTAAAATCTTTCATTAGTCTTTTATATTTTACTTTATACTCACTTTCAATTAAATACTATTATTCCTTTAAAATCCTTCATTAGTCTTTTATATTTTACTTTATACTCACTTTCAATTAAATACTATTATTCCTTAATTCTGGTGCCAACATCCAATAAGACGTCTCTTTTGGGACGGAGGGAGTACTATCATAATTTATTATCATTAAATCACTAAACTCTATTACCTCAAGTGTTACTAACCAAACACATCTATTGAAATACGAGGAATGATATAGATACTTTTAAAAATTTTTATAATTGATTTAAGAAATATCACATTAATATACATATTTTTTCATAAAATATTATATAAATTTTACTATTTTGTCTTATTTAATTTGTTCATTGTTTTTATTTATGTCCGTTCCATATAATTTATTTATTTATTTATTTTTGTAAATACAATTATACACTTTAATCATATTTTAAAAATCATAATTTATAATTTTTTATTATAATTAAACTATTTTAACCTATAATTATTATTATTAAATTATAATTATTAAATTATAATTATTTTCACCGATACACTTTGTACAATACCTAAAAACTCGTTACCTAAATTAAAGGAGGACAAATTAGCTGGACTGATAAAGTAATTTTTACTATTATCAAAAATTTTCAAAATTACAACCCTTCCCAAACCTTTGTCTAATTTAAATTTTCTGGTTAAGAAATAGCTACCGTATCAACTATCCTGGGATCAAATAATGCCGTGTAACCGACACGTGTCACTCAGAGATGCAGCGATCCTTGAAGGAATGAATCAGGACGTCCGTCACGTCCAGATTCCCCCTCTCGGCCGCTGCATATTAGAATGCAGCAGCGCCGGCACAGTTTCCTCCAAGTCGATCTTCGTCTCCCCCAAAATTCCTCATCTCCTTCAATAAATCATTCTGCAGATAAGGAGATCAACCAGTTATTGACCTGGATAGCTAAGAAGACCGATTGAAGAATTTTTAAATTTTTTTACCTGTAAATCAATGGAGTGCAGCGGCAGGTCGAAGAAGGACAGCAGCAGTAGTCCGGAGAAGAAAGATCAGAAGGATTTGTTCCATGTAATCAACAAAGTTCCATCTGGCGATGGCCCCTACGTCAGAGCCAAACGCGCTCAGGTTTCAAACTGTTGTTAATTTTTAAATCTCATCGATTAAATCGAAGTTTTTTTCCCCCAAATTTCAATCTCACCTACCAATTTACTCAAAATGCAACGGTAATGCCACGAGTTCGATAAATTAGGGTTTATGTGGATGAGTTTTTTCGCAAAGTGAAGCTTAATTACCTGAATTTCAACTGAAACTCATCGAATCTAACCTCAATTGCATCTTCAAGCCTGAGTTGCATGCGAACATGCAGAAAAATTCAGTTAGGGTTTTCGCTCTCCAAAAATCTGCCATATTTCATGCCAGTAATTACACAGTATGTAGAAGGATGTTGAAGATGGCGATATATGTGTTAACCATCAGGTTGTGGAGAAGGATCCGGAGACAGCAGTGGTGTGGTTTTGGAAAGCCATAAATGCAGGAGATAGAGTAGACAGTGCTCTCAAGGACATGGCCGTCGTCTTGAAGCAGCTCAACAGACCAGAACAGGCCATCGAAGCAATCAAATCGTTCCGCAGCCTTTGCCCCAAAAACTCACAGCCTTCGCTCGACAATGTACTCATCGACTTGTACAAGGTTCATACCTATCAATAATCTCTCTCTCTCTCTGCAGAAAATATACAATTAAATTGTTAGGTTCAGAAATGGTGAATTTGTCGATGGTGTGGTGCAGAAATGCGGGAAAATTGATGAGCAAATAGCGCTGCTAAAGCATAAGCTGAGACTTATATACATCGGCGAGGCGTTCCATGGCCGGCCGACGAGGACGGCGCGGTCGCACGGGAAGAAGTTTCAGGTTTCCGTCCGGCAAGAAACGTCAAGGCTACTTGTAAGTTACATACAGAACCATCATCTCCAATTAACTCAAAATTCTCTCTCAAATATTTCTTAGTCTCTGAAGTTTTAGAAAAAAATATATATATATAATAATAAAATTGAGAATAGTAAAAAATTACATGTTATGTTTTATAAAAAAAAAAAAAATTATTTCGTGTGATGGGAGGAAATGTTATATTTGATGAAAAAATAAAATTGTAAAAAGTTTAGGGCGTGTTTCTATAGGAGATTGGGGGAAAATTGAAATTGTGTATGATTTTTTTTTTTTTTTTATTCAAATTTTCAGGTGGATTAGAATTGATGTGTTTCCTTTATGTATATATTTGATAAATTTAAATTTTTAAAATTAATAATGATATAATTTGACTATAAAATTATATTATATAAAATATATATTTTAAAAATTTTATTTATTTATATTATAAAAAAATTATTTTTTACAAAATAATATATATATATATGATATATATTTTATTAGACTATAATATTTTTATTTATTAGGTTGTTTACAGACCCTTGTAATTATTGAATTTAAAAAATAAAAGAAAAAAAGAATAAGCTACTGTGCTACAAGCTGTCGGTGAAGAAAAAGACATGACGGCTTTGGGTGTACAGTGAATTTCCACAAACTCTCCCCCGATAAACTCACCTTTAATATGTTTGGTGTCATATTTTTTTATAGAAGAAAAATACATTTGATGAATTAATAAGAAAGCATTTCATGTGAAAATATTATGAACATATAATATTATATTTAATGGAATTTTGCTTTACAAAATTATAAAAGTATTTTTGTCATTTTTTTGTAAAATTATATATTAGGGGAATCTAGCGTGGGCATATATGCAGAAGTCAGATTTCATGACGGCGGAAGTGGTGTACCGGAAAGCTCAGATGATCGATCCAGATGCCAACAAGGCGCTGAACCTCTGCCACTGCCTGATGGAGCAGGAGCGGTGGCAAGAGGCGGGGGCGGTTCTGCAGGAGGTGGTGCAGCACAAAGTTGCAGGCTCGGACGACGCCAAGGCGAGGAAGAGGGCAGTCGAGTTGTCCCTGGAATTGGATTCCAGGCACCCTGCCGGAGACTGCCCTCTGGCGCTGGACATCATTCCGGGGCTGCTGTTTGACGTCGAGGACGCCCTCATGGAGGAGCTCGACGCCATCATCAATGAAAGGGCGCCTACGAGATCCAGAAGGCTCCCCATTTTCGAACAGATTTCTCAGTTTAGAGATCAGCTGGCCTGTTAATTTATGTAAGTATGGTGTAGTGTATATTTGTTTGTGTGGGTTTGCACAAATGCAGGATTTGTAATAAAGGGGTGAAAATATCGCAAATAAACTAAAAACTAGTATGTATGTGGAGAGGGTTACAGTGCTAAAATAGCACATTAAACATACGTTTTCAATATGATCGGATAGCATACCCTATTTGCATTAGGGTGTTGGGGCGTGTTTGTTCGGGAGATTCTTCCTAAAATTTACTATTCTATCAAATTTTTTATTTTTTTTCTCAAAAATAATCAAATACCCCGAACATACATTCATGAGACTTTTCCAAAAATTCATTATTCATCAAAAAATTTCTCCTAAAAAAAATTAAATAAAAAACCTATTTAAATCACATCCTATAACTAATCTAATTTAAATTGTACTATTCAAATTCCAAAATATACTGTAAAATATAAATCGCATAAACTAACATTACATGCAAAAATCAACATAATTTATACAACATGTACTATAATTACATGGCATAACTAAACTCAATCACATAAACTATAAATAACACAACACATTTAAAATATAAATTAACAGCACAATCTAAGAATTAACACTAACACCTACCATATTCATTCAAACCATATACTGACAGTCACAGTCAGTATATTTATGTGCTGTGAACACACAGCTAATTAATTTAATTCCATACATATATATATATATATGTGTATATATATTGGTGAAGATAATGTGAGTACAACTATACAAATAGTATGCCAAAATGCAGTTTGGAGCACAGAGGGCAAAGATGAGGTCACCAAATGGGAAGCTAAAGCAAAAATAGTAAATGCAATGTAAAAGCCAAGGGAAGGTGTGACAACACACTTACAGAGGCTAGTGGCATTTGAATCCACCACATACGGATAAAACAATGATAAGGATAAGTGCGACGATAATCGCGAGGACGATCAACTTTATCTTCATATTCTGCAGCCACATCTTCCTCCTCATCTTGGTTCCTTGCGACCGAAAGTCTTGCGCCTGCAAAGCAGTGAACACCTCATTGTCATAATGGTCGTAATTTAATATGAGCCAATAATTCAATCACAAATGAATAAATAAGGAAATACGACTAAAAGGAATTCAAATAAACAAACAAAATAAAATTGTGGGGTATAAAGTGAAGGCTTCTTGAGTAAAAATAGAAAACTAAACTGGACATATCATGATTTTAGATCGACAATGAAATCCTTAAAGTGGTCCACATTTGCTGTTGAAGCCCGACTAGAAAATTAAATTTTATTATTATTATTTTTTTAAAAAAAACAGCTCATTGATAGTTATTTAACTACAAATTTATGATGTTTGTCTAACTTATATACTCGAGCTTGGCTTGAGAACCGAGTAGCTTGATATCAATTTCAGTTGGGTATATATAGTAAACATCAAGCTACTGAATTCATTCCTCACCCTAGGTAGATCTGCATTTTTTTTTAATCAAAACAAATTATTCGAGATAATTAAGAAGTACATACCTGGGATCGAAGATTCTCAGTTTTATCAACCAAAAGTTCAATCTTTTCACCACGATCAAGAACCTGAATGTATAACCAGAATTGCAAGATTAAATGAGTGTTGAAGGACACCATTTTCAAAAACATATCCGATTTCATAACCAGAAATTGCAAACTGATAAAGAAGATAAAACGAGGGAATAGATTCCCCAAACTCGTAGCACCTTTTCAATGTTTTCCATCATCACGCCTTTGACTTCGGAAACCTGAGCTTTTACTTTAGCAATCCTGCTGATTTCGTCTGGATGATCCACACAGTATTGCATCTGCTCCTTCAGTTTGGGTCTAATTCGTAGGTACGGCACAGCAAATACAATGTCTCAACTAAAAACATCACAGTGTCGACTAAATATTGAAAGAGCAAGGCGTGGCAAGATTACCCAAATTCTTTATTAAGGCTGTTGGCTACAGCTGTAGCCGCCTTTCCTCCACCATATTTCTTGGTAAAATCTTCTTTAACCCGCTCAAGAAATGCAATGGGAACTTGCCTTCCAATAGATTCCACAGCCACAACACAATATGCTGCATCAAAAACCAAATTAAAAGTGGGAAACATGGAAGTAAATAGCACCATGTGCAAAACCAATGGATGTCTCCATAAATTTATAATGACATCCACATACAACATTTATGACAACAATGGTGTTTGTAGAAAGCCATTCAACCTCACATGCAAGTCCATTTAGATCTCTAGACATGCTTTCATATAGAAAGTCTATTAATATGATTCTGAAACCTAGGTCACTACGGACCACCTCATCCTTGACACAATTGCCTACAATATAAATTTATATGATATTGATACCATGCATTTTGGTACATGGATCTACCACACATGCAGCTTATGTTAACAGATGGATGAAACACAACAAAAGTGTGTCAACATGTTGCCGAAATGGTGAAAAAAAACTAAGGAACCAAAATTCACTACGGGGAAATGCACAATTATGAAATGTTCATAAACTTGCCAAAAAACAACCTTTTCAGAATAAAATATTGCGAAAATGATCGCCATTGACAAGCATTGAATGTGATCAGGTGAACTCAAATGTTGATCAAAATGCTGAACTTCAGTGCAACAACATCTACTGCATAAGCCTATCAAACAACTAAAGAGGAGTATAGAAAAAACCTAAGTACAAATATGAACTGATGCATAATAACACAACACGATGCAGTAAATAAGGATAGGATTCACAAGCACAATGAAATAACCACAATCAAAATGAACACTCATCTTCGACTAAGATCTAACTTCCTTACAAGTAAAACCACCACAAAATCCTTCAAATCTCTTCATATCAATCGTAAAATAAGAGAAACCACTGAAAAACAAAATTTGATAAACCCGCAGCCACAAATCAAATCGGATAAAACGAATCGAATCCCCGGAGCATACAGATCAGAGACGCAGCCACTTACTGAACCCATCCTCGACCAGATAATTGAAGGTGTGGCCATCGCAGTTGTAAGTGAACCTATTGTTGGCGGCGGGGAGTTTCTGGAGGCATTGCGCCGCGATCCCGGTGAAATTTCCGGTGAACTCAGTGTACTCCGCGAGAACCACCGTCCCACGCGCCACGAAGCTGTAGATCAAGGATTGCTGTCCCATCTGTGCTCCTCGTCTCCACTCCGATTAACCCTAGCACAATGCCTCCACAGAGAGGCACACAGAAGCAGAAAGAAAGCGAGAAAGCGCAAAAAGCGAGCACTCAACAGTGGGAAATGGTATTCATACGGTGAAAATGCTTGTGGAGTACATCGAGATGCGCTCGGCAGAGGACGCGTGACGATGCGGCGACGTTGATGAATTTGAATTCCATTCTTCTGTTTCTGTCACTATGAAATTCCCAATTTGCCCTCTGCATAGAGATCGGTACGTGCATAGTAGGGATTGGACAAAAAATTTTGGGCATGTTTCTTAATTTTGGGTATGTTACTTTGAAGTGGTTTGAAAAAATTTTGGTTTAAGTTTGTAATTAAAATAACGTAAGATTAAATATTTTATGCGCGAAAAAAAAATATTTTTTAAAAAATATAAAATTTAAATAGTAAAAAGTTAAAGTTTTGTGTCAAAATAAACAAACTCAAAATATATATTTTGGGTATATATTAAAATATTGATATTGATTTTTTTTTAATAATGTAGGAATCCGGAATCGTTATTCGAAAGTAGCTTACTGGCTAAACCTCCGGTCAAATTTAATACCCTGCAAACTAAATTCGACACACAAATCACATTGAATATTATTGAAACATTGATATTTTGGTATATATGCCATGATATTTGGTAAACTTATATGTAACAAATTATTCTTTTAATTTCAATATTTTAGCATTGAACAGTATTAAAAATATTTTTAAAAGTATAAGGGGTGTTATACCATATTTTTAGAGTGTGTTTGTTTGAGGATTTGGATTTTGAGTTAAGATTTAAATAGTAAAAATTTTGAATTTGAATAGTTGTATGATGTGATATAAATAGGTATTGATGTGATGTTTTGAATGTAAAATTGATTTTTAGTATAATATAAAAAATGAAAAATAAGTATTTGATTTAATATTTTTTGAGGAAAAAAATAGGATGAATAGTGAAAATCCAAACAAATCCCTCAAACAAACACACCCTTAAAAGTATAGATATTTTTTAGGTGGAATTTTGAAAAAAATAAAAATAAAAATTTATGAGCAATTTTACCAAAGGAAAATGATAGTACTATAAACATAATGAATATATGTAATATATTATTAGCTTGGTTCCAACTAATTTGTCATGGGACAGAGAGTTTTAAATATTACTATTTAATTAATAATTAGTAATTAGTAAGAAGTGTGCATTAATAAAAATAATTATAAATTAAAATTAAAATTATTAAATAATTTAATTAAAATAAAAAAATATAATTAAAATATATAATTATATAAATAAAAAAAAAATGAACAAATCATGTAAAACTGAAGAAATAATATTTTTAGAAAATTGTGCTGGTTTCGTTAAAATCCCGTACCAAACAATGCCATGGTACATACTGTGGAGTAAAGTGAGTTTTATGTCATAAACACGCTTTATATATATTATATTTATATACTCCTTATTTTGCGAAACTTGTCTTTGTATTCTCAATTTGGCCTCCACAGCGGGATAGGTCGGTGAATATCGTGAAGTAAAGTCGCGTTTTACACCAAAGAAACACGCTTTATACATATATTTATACATTATTCTGCAAATTTCGTCAATGTGGAATTCCCAAATTGGCCTCTGCATAGAGATAGGTTGGTGCATATTGTGAAGTAAAGTCGCGTTTACGCCATAGACACGCTTTACACGTATTTATATATTTTTCTTCAAAATTCCCGATGCCAGTGGAAAATTTCTGGACAAAGTCGGCGATCGGGAGGGATATTTATCCGAACGTAGCTTCCTTTAGGTTGAATTTGAAGGATTGAGAAGGGGGGAATGGCGGGGGCTGTGACGGCGGCGTCGCAGTCTGTGTTGGCGGTGCAGTCGCGGCGGATAGTCTATCGACCTAGCTCAGTTGCAGCCCCGATTGGCGGCGGCTCGTTTTGTTCCTCGAACGTCAAGCTTGTCTCAAATTTTCCGAGGATTAATTTGAGGTGCAATTGTAGTTCTGGTGATTCAGGTACAGAAATATTGCTCTGTTTTTCTTCTTATTCGCTCGTCAGTATTAATTTTCAGAATTGTCCTTTCGTTTGAATTTCGATTCTGTTTTTAGGATTTCGGAATTCTGTCTGTGTTCTTCCTATGGATTGTAATTTTGTTATCCGTTGAATTGCTTTCCTTGCCATAGCTCTTGTATCAGAATCGATTGCTTCGATTAGAGTGTGTACTCTGTGTGTGTTTGTGCAAAAATTTATGTGCGTTGAAAAACCTGAAAATGCTCCTTCACAAATGAAGAAGTTGGATGAAGAGCGTGTAGTTTTTCGAATTTCAATCATCATTTAAAGCTAAAAAGGCATATACTATGCAGGTGAGAACCAGAGCAGAACAATTCTAGATGCATTTTTCTTGGGGAAGGCTGTGGCAGAAGCTGTCAACGAGCGGGTAGAGTCGGCTGTGGGAGAGTTTCTTAGCGTCATCGGCAGACTGCAAGCCGAGCAGCAGAAGCAGATTCAAGAATTTCAGGTATTGCTACAGTCACTCGGCATTCTACGCCTGTTTAGATCAATTCATTGCACTTTTAAGGTGGAGAGCTTATCGAAATAGGACCAATCCTGATCATACATTGTTGTTGTTGAATGTTCTAATGAGGTCGTCATGGTTCTGCAGGACGACGTGCTAGAAAAAGCTCAACGGGCAAAAGAACAAGCTGCCCGCGAAGCTATGGGATCACAGGGACTTTTCCGCAAAACAGCTTCATCTTCGACTGTCAATGGCGTCGCTTCGGATGCTGTGTTGTCATCATCATCATCATCATCAGCCTCAATCTCTGAGGTAAAGGAGGAGGAGGACTGACTGTTCAAATGGAGGCAAGTAAGTAAAAGTATCTGCTGTTGATTATATATAAGTTTTGAATCATTTGAACACAATTGAGTTTTTGTTCCATCATATTTGAACAACAATCATATATCATCCTTCCCATTTCTAACTTCTTCTTCCACAACAATCTAAGCATCGCTATCACTGCTCACCAAAATTTAAGGAACCTAGTTGAACAATGAGATATTGTTTCATTATATGATTTAGGGTGTGTTTGGTTTTGGTTTCAAACAAAACTTTTCACTATTCATTTGCATGATTTCAATAAAAATACTCCATCCGTCCCTTTGAAAGGTTACCGTTTTTCATTTTCGTCCGTCCCAAAACAAGGTTATCATTTCCTAATTTAGTAATTGTACTATCTATTTAATCTAATAAATATCATTTCAAACTTACAATATATTACACAAATGTCATTACTTTTATATTACGCCATACTTAATAAGGGTATTTTTGTTTTTTTTTACTATAATCCAATATAATATTAATATTAAAAATTTTTTGTGAACACAATTGCCACTACTTTTTACACTAGTACACTCACAATGGCAATCTTTTATCCGTACTTTTTACCCACTACTAATATAATATTAATATTTCTTGAATTCCGTGCCAACGACTATAATTTGAGACGGAGGGAGTATTATTTAAATAAAAATTTCTAAGTATTATTTAATTTCAAATTAAAACCAAGCAAACCCTTAGTTATAATTGTAATATATATACTTTGATTAAATTAAATTATTATTTTTTCAATATTATAAAGATTATGGTTTGAATGTTATACAAATAAATAAAAAAACATAAATGTGGAATAGGGGGAGGATTGGGTGCTGAATTTTTAAAATAAGCTAATTAGTATAAAAAATTAAGTATGTTAACTTATTTTATAAATTATATAATTAATATATTATGTGTAATTATATTACACTAATCAGTACCCAATCCTTTTTCGTGAAATAGTGAAATTTTTGTTGTTAATTATTTGGAATTGAGAAAGTATTTTGGGAATTATAAATGAATTTTTTTTGTGAAATAATTTTTGTTATTTTTTAAATATTTCGTAAGAGAGAGTTGAATATTTTTATTAGAACAATATGGGTAAAAATTCTTTTTATTTATAAATAAATAAATAGATAATGTGTATTAATCTTGAATTCTAAAGGTGTGTTTAATTTGTGTATTAAATATAAATTAATACTTTAGTCTATTAATTTTTGATAAAAATATATTCATTTTGTCTGTCAAATTTATAAAAAAAAATAAATTTGATGGACGGAGTAAATATTATTTTTTCTAAATATAAATGTGTATTAAATTTAATTGATAAAATTTATATTGTATGATTTGATTATAATTTATTTTATACCCAACATATATATATTTAAATTTTTATTTATTTGTATTATAAAAAATTTTATTCTCTATAAAATGACATATATATTGTATATATTTTTATTCAATTTAATTATAATAAATATTAAATAATATTTTAATTTTTTTAAAAAAATTAAAAATAAAAATAAAAGCATACTTGGACGTTATTGGGGGATTGGTGAACAACCCCAAATTTAAGGTCGGAGAAACACACCCTATGTATATATACAAGTTTTTTTCTAAAAAAATAAATAAAAATTAGAAGCGAGAGCATACAAATGTGAAAATATATAATATACTGTATATAATATAATAAAAATTACCAAAAATAAATAAAATGTATAACTTTCTTACAATTATGTATATTTTACAACACCATCGCCTACAATTATTGGTACTAAGGATGTGTTTGTTTGGGGAATTGAATTTTAATTCTATTATTCATCCTATTTTTTTTTTTTAAAAATATCAAATCAAACACCTATTTTTTATTTTTTATATTATATTAAAAATTAATTTTATATTGAATACAAAATTTATACTATTCAAATCTCTTAACTCAAAATCGAAAGCTCAAGCACACCCTTAAACAAAAAAATGATCCTAATTCAATTCATTACAAAACCCAAATTTGCCACAACAAGACCTAAGTGTTGTTTTAGAATTATTATTATTTTTTTTAAAAATCATGTAATTCTGAAATTTTTTAATATATATATTTAAAATTATATAAATAAAAATTGCAAATTAACAAACTCATAATTCTCTTTACTATATATACCCAAAAAGGCCGTTTAAAGTTGGCCCATTTAGTATAGTAATCCCAAGCCCAAGATAGAGCCCAAACAGTGAAAACAAAATCCAGCCCTAGTCGTCTAAGCAAATCGTCGTCTCCGGCTCCGTTCCCTCACTGCAGCGCCATTTCTACTTCTTCTTCATCCAGCTTCGTCTCCTACTGCAGCAGGCTGAGTATGTTTTCTCCTAAATGTTTTTGGATGTGTGCTTGCTGTTATTATTTTGTATTTTCTCTTACCGGATGTTTTGGAGTATTTTGGGATTTGGAAATTTTGAAATGGAAAATAGGATTTGATCAGATCGTTTTGGACATGATTTTTTTATTTATTTTCGGAAAAGCAAAGCGCACGAAACGAGTTCGGCGATTTCTTCTAACACACACACACGTTTTTTCATTTAGTTTGAACATACAATTGATATTAGTTAGTAGGGAAGTTATAAATTATGAGGTGAATTTGTGGTTGTATTATGTGTCGAGAATTATTTTTCATTTTTTATAATTTTAATTATCTATGGTGTGGACTAAGGAAAATGTGTAATGCTTGGATCAAAATATGGTTTAGTTAGCACTGTAAGTTGTGTTAATTATTTCTGTCCGTGCAGAGAAAAAGGAAGCCAATGATGGCGGCATCGAGAGTCCCTGCTTCTCGTCTCAGGCAGCTCCTCTTCATCTGTCCTAGGTCTCGCTCGCATCATCCTACAGCTCCATATAACGACATTCTGCAGAGAACCTTCAGTTCTGAGGCTGAAAAGGATTATTCATTTAGCTCCCGAGTTGTCGAAGGGAAGCCCGGAGTTATGTCAGTAAACTCGAAACGGACTGGCGCCATAGCCGTTAAATGTGGAATGACTGCATCATGGGATAAGTGGGGCGCCAGAATTCCCTTTACTATCCTTTGGTTGGATGATAACATCGTTTCCCAAGTCAAAACCCCTGAGAAAGAAGGTTTTTGTGCGCTTCAGGTACTACAGTTACTACACAAACTTCTGTGTATTCTCTCTTTAATTTCTTGTTTGTGTATTCCAAACAAATATCTAGTTGTTGGAGTTGTGTCTGAATTGCTGTATGCCTGAGAAATGGGATATATCAGGAGGTGGCTAATGTGGTAAAATGCTGTTACTGATTCATTGACTAGACTTGCTTTTACCGTCTAAATGTGAGGAATCAAATGGGATTTGAAAAAAGGACTCGAATGCTTACTATTTAGTTGTATTCCTCTGCTGCTTTCCATTCTTGGTATCAAATATCAACGCCATTAACATCTATGAAATTGCAATTGTTCAGAACTAATGTAGAGGTCCTTTACAGAAAAGTTTGTATTGTATTTCAATTCGAAGATCCCAATTTTATTCCTCCTTGCAGCATTTTTTTTTTGTAGGGTGATCAAGTTGATTGAATATTTGTAAGTTCCATTGAATGTTCCTTGACCTCTGTCTATGTTGTTTTGGATGTTTTAAAGAGGTCATGTGGTTTAGGGCCGTTTCTGTTTTATGTGCTGCTTAGACATATATGGCAGGTGTTTTCTGAATTTCGATTTTAAAAAATAGTTTGATGTGTTTTATTGTGTGGTGGTAGCTAGGTTGGGTGTGGACAGAAGAAGGAGAAACATTTGAGAAAACCTGAAGTAGGGCATTTTCGGGCTCAAGGAGTATCCATGAAAAGAAAACTAAAAGAGTTTCCTGTGACCGAAGATGCTTTACTTCCAGTTGGAACTTCTATCAATGTACGCCACTTTGTTCCAGGGCAGTATGTAGATGTCACTGGCATTACTAAAGGGAAGGGGTTTCAGGTAACTGGAGTATTCTTTCTTGGACTAAGTTGTGTCTTCTGTTGCAGTAATTCTGTTTTTTGGATTTTTTTTGCACTAATTTAGCCTCCAAACACCCTCCCTCTTCTGATCATCCCTTGACAATTTGATTGTCTTGTAGTTGTTGAGATTATTGGCCAAAAATAGATATAGGAAGATTTTATTTTCCAGATAATTAAGAATGTCGCATAATTTGCTCTATGTTTGAAGTATGACTTGCCATATGAATGTGAAGAAAGATTGCATTGAAGATTGTGTAAAATAAAAAGAAAAAAAGAAGAAAAAGAAATGGAGAATAGCTTCGGAAACATGATTTATATGACACTTGTAGAAAGGCATCGTCAAATGGTTAAATTACAGAATCCTTTGATTTGAAAATGCAAGATATATAATGACTTGACGTGATCCCCTAATCCACCGATAGATGATGAGGTCTTCTCATTCACACACTCCCCTAATCCACTATATCATCATTTCTTGTTTTTAATTTTTGTGTAATTGTAGGGTGGGATGAAAAGGTGGGGCTTCAAAGGTATGCCTGCATCTCATGGTGCATCATTGTCACATAGAAGTATTGGTTCTACTGGTCAAAGGGATGCTCCTGGAAAGGTGTGCATTTTTCCTTAGTTAAAGCTCGGAGTATTTTTGGTCAGAATCCTAAAATCCATCTAACTTATTTTTTCTTCGGCCCTTCAACAGGTTTTTAAAGGGAAGAAGATGCCGGGACACATGGGTGTTGAGCAAAGAACTGTAAAAAATGTTTGGGTCTACAAAGTTGACCCCGCAAGGAACTTGCTGTGGGTGAAAGGCCAAGTATGGTTATATTTTCTTACTATAAACCCTTTCGTTCGATTTTAACTCCAAAACACAGGCCGTAGTGAAGAAATACACACTAACACTATCGTCATTTTTAGAATCGTCTCTTACTGTTACTATCTTAATAGACATTATCTTCTCTAGATGTCAATGAATCTGAAGCTAATTCAGGAGTGCGTTTCTTTGGAGGTTTAGATTTTGAGTTGGGATTTGAACAGTAAAATTTTTGAATTAGAATAGTTGTATGAGGTGATATAAATAGGTGTGGATGTGATATTTTGAATGCAAAATTGATTTTTAGTATAATATAAAAAACAAAAAATAGGAATTTGATTTGATGTATTTTGGATGGAAATCTCAGTGTATAGTGGAAATCCTAATAAATCCACCAAACATTAAATTTGTTTTCTTTTGATTGTGACTTAACATTTAAATAAACATTATCTTCTAGATTGAAATTTATTTCGAGCCTAAATAACATTGCCTTTGCAGGTTCCTGGTGCAACGGGGAATTTTGTTTTTATAAAGGATGCTGTGTACAAGAAACCGGAAGTTTCTTTACTTCCTTTTCCGACTTATTTTGCAGAAGAAGATGAGAACCTGGAAGAACTGGAACCTTTGGTAGCTGACATGGGCGATATCGATCCATTTATGGCCGCGGATTGACGGTAAGTTAGCCTATTATTTTGCTTCCTTTGTGTTCTAACGAGGACGTGAATTTTTTATGATGCAAATCATTTCAACAATCCTTGATGATGGTCCATTTTTTCGATTAGTTCTGAGTTTAATTTACTGTGTTTGAAGATAAGGCTGATAGATATGTCTTTCCTTTTATTTTCATATATAGTATGGAGAAAATCGGACCTGTTATAAATTTGCTTTAATAATATGGGGATTTGGATTTTGGATTGAGATTTAAATTTGGTAAAAAATTTGAATTAGAATAGTTGTACGACCAGATATAAATATGGATTGATTTTTGAATTTAAAATTAATTTTTAAATATAATATAAAAAATAAAAAATAGTTGTTTGATTTGATATTTTTATACGGTGTGCCAGAGAAATTTAATTATTTTCCAGAAAATGCAACATCATATCAACATCAAGATTATTTCAATTCAAGATTGAATTAGTATATGAATTGTCTAAGCATCAATCAAAGATCTCCCCATAACATAAAATAAATAAATAAATTAATTAAAATTAAAATTCCTTAAATTTTTATTTATTAAGATACTAAAATTTAAATTTACACCCAAAAATCAAATTTATATTTATATTTCAAATAATTATCTAAATTTCATTTCAAAACTAATTTTATTTGGATTAAGCACGAAATTTAAAAAATAAAGATAATTTTAAATGATAAGTATATATGGTTTGATGGATCACAATTTCCAATTTATGATACCAAAAAATTATCTCACCTCAAAGACAATAAAAACCAACATAGAGCACCAAAAGGTCCTCACAAAATTCCAAGAAAACAACTCAATTAATTAAATTCCAAAACCAAAATTTGATACTACAAAACAATATTCTGTTTACCATATATATATATATATGTATATAAATAGTATGCAGTCTATTTTAACATGAAATATCAATGATAGCTCAGACATATCAATAGATCATACCATCAAACATTTCTTCTTTTCTTCTCTATGCATTATCCAAATCAACCTCAGAAGGCAGTTCAAATCTATTGTTCAAACTTGTTGAATCACCACCGCCATCTTCACCATCATCGTCGACCATAGTCGCATCCTTTGCGACATAATCGACTTTAAAGTCATAATCTTCATTAAGATCATCATCTTCCATGGCAGCAGCAGCAGTAGCTGCCTGAGTTTCCCTTTTCTGCCTTTTCTTGTTAGCTTTTCTCAGCTTTGTATTAAGCATACCTTCCTCGCCATACAGCTTCTCGTTCTGCTTTCGGCTGCTATGTCCACTTTTCTCATCTTCGGCTACACCCTCCTCTTCTTCTTCTTTGTTTTCTTCCATCGGCTGATCATCTCCTCGGCCTTCAGGAATACTTTGCAGTTCTTCATTACCCTGCATTAGATATCGATCAAACTATTTTGAACATATGTTAATTGCATTGATAAAAAAGTTAATGGTGATTCTTGTAAAAGTTTTGCAATTTAGGTTTAAGGCAATGTGGGGAAATAGCAAACCTCCAGCATTGTCGAATCAAAGTTGAAAGGAGCATTAGCCGGAACTTCGACAGGATTGAAATCGGAAACAGACTTCAAACTGCCGATAAATGAAGATTCGGTTCCATATACTTCGTCCACATTGAACTCCTTTCCGAGTTCAGTGACAATCTTTGCCTCTGAAGGGTCCTCCGAGTTCCGAACCGGAGGTGTCGTATAATACGGTATTTTACCTGCATTTACAAAGTAACAAATTACTAATAAAAGACTTGGAATTCCTAATTCATCCCTCTCATTATTCGCTAACATAAAATTCTGAACAAATATGAGTTTGGGCATCCAATTAACACTTAGATTTAACCTCAATTTAAGAAGATTTAGCATCATTTTCACCTTTTAACCCTGTGGTCTCGTAACTCACATAAAAAAAAGGCTGTTTTATTATGCTCGTTGCAAGGTACTTCTAATAATTCATGACCAAAACATATACATACATATGGACCTTCCACTAGATTGTATTGATTACTCAGATGAAATTAGATGCCTCGACAGAATTTCCAACGTAGATTGGATGAAAGAACGTCATATACCTTCATTCCAGTCGTGCAACACAATTCTAGCAGCAGCGTCAACATCGACAATACCACCCTTTTTAAGCTTTCCCCTAATGGTCGCAACCTTCTGAAGGAAGTCATCGACGGAATAAAAACTCGGGATCTTGTATAGTGCTACCAACATGCTGTCTGGGCAAAGCTTGAGGATTTCTTTAACTGCACATTTAAAATAGACAATAAATAATGATAATTAGACAATTATGGTAAATGGCAGTGGAAGTCTAGAATGATCGGTCTCACCAGGACCAACTGGATCATCTAATTTTTCAATCCTCTTGCAATTACGAAGAGCCACAGACGCATCGTTCCCAGTGGTTTTAAGCATTACAACACCAGGACAGTCCAACAATTTAACATTTTTATCCAGCTGAACTTCTTGCATAGATCTTGTCAGCCCAGGAGTGGCACCAACGTTGACGACATGTGACCTTTTCAAGCTGTTAATTAGACTACTTTTACCGACATTAGGTAGCCCAATAATACCCACAGTGATGGATTTTTTAATCTGCATAAGAACTCAATAATCAATGACACCGTAGATAGGTGAATAAAGTCTAAACAAATGTATACAGTTACGATTTTCTACCTCATGACTTCTTGAGTAGTTTTTCAGTAATTTAATTAGAGTTTTAGCCCCGAGACAATCGCTTGTTTGCAGAAGATTATTTTCTCCACTGTTTGTCTTGCCAGCTTTCCCCAGCTTTCCAGCCTTTGGTGCAGATTTCCATCCAAGGTTCGACTTCTGTTCTTGGGTGCTGCATTTAAAGGCCACTGTTGGTAACTCCTCTCTAAGATATTTCAGCCACTTTTCAGCTGCTTCCCGAGGTACAAGATCTGTATTAAAGAAAAATTCACAGCTGTTAAATGTATGTTTTTCAATAATGCACTAACCTTGCATCTAAGGCTAGCACGAATATACTTTTTGTATGACAAACAATATATTCACAGAAGATAGAGCCACAAACTTTAAGGGATTGAACCCATAAGTTAGGCATTACATGATATAATGGAATACGCCATGGGATATTTTCAAAGCATTACAATATATACCAATTTGGTGTGTAAATTGTAATGACATGCACCGTACCGATCTTATTAAGAAGCAAAACAAGATGCTTCTCGGGCCCCGACTTCATCACCATCTTTTCCATATCAACACATCGTGTACCCAAGGGATCTCGTGCGTCAAGAACTTCCAAAATTACATCAGAAGCTTCTATTACTTTTACCAGCTCTTTGTAGAAAGCCCTCTCTGAGTGATCTGAAACATATATATTGAAATTAAAACCAACCAGAATGTATAAAAGATCTAAGAACATTCTCTTCAACCAAATATGATAAAAGTTGTTGTCCACACACCATGACTTTTGGATTTTACAACTGAATCATTGCTGTCCCTTAGCTCTTCCATTGAACTCTTATCCTCCATCTCTTCATCATCTAATAAACCCAATTTTCTTTTTTGTGCCTGCAAAGTGAACAAAGAGATTTGTAACAGAAAAACTAAGGATTGAAAACAAATTCGATTTGTAACAGTAATAAAAATAAATAAATTAGACTTCAAAGAAGCCTTACCCTTTCCTTACGAGCTGCTTTCTTCTCCTCACGCTCGTCGAGTGCACGCTGACGTCTGGCCTCAAGGGCCTTGAGCTCCTGTTCCTTGAACGGCCAGTCATTGGGAATCCCAGGATCCTTCTCTACTTTAGGTTTCTTATTGAGGCCTAATTTCTTGGCCTCCTTGGCCTTCTTCTTGTGGTGCTCCTTAACCTTCCTTATTATCTTGTACTTCTTCTTCAGCGAAACCCTCTTACTCTTGCTCTCTGCGGTAACAACAACAATAACAACACGAAGTACAGCAGAAAAACGTAAGAATCATACACCGAAAATCGTTGAGCCAAAAGGTAAGAAAATTGAAGAACACTGTACTTTTGCTTTTCTTCACCATCTTATCGTTTATATGCTGAGTTGCGTTTGGTGCAGAGCAGCGGGAGAAGATTAGTGTTGGAAGGCTGCGATTTTTCCGAGGTAGACGATTAACACGAAATTCAAACAAACAACAGATTATATAAAAAGAGAACAACAAAACCGCAAAGACGTCAAAAAAAATCAAAATTTCCGTAAATACTTGAACCATTCCCACACTATTGAGTAATGATTAAAAGAAATTGAAGATGCTGAACTTACAATCTCGATCCAGCTGAAGCTTTCCGAGGAGGCGCGGACGGACGAGAATGAAAGAAACCGAGGCGCAATTGAAGTTGCACAAGGCAGAGAGAGAGAAATAGCTAATCGAATCCTCTAAACCCTTGGTCGAGCCGCCATGAATTGCAGGGCTTAAGGGAGAGTGAAATCACCGATCCACAAATTGAAATTAGGGATAGGGTTCGAAATTTTGGGCCTAACAAAAAGGTTAGGGTAAACTGGGCCAAATCTAGATTTCGGGTCGCCCGACCCAAATCCGGGCGGATATAAACAAAAATAATTAATGGGGTGAGAGAGGCTCGAACTCTCGACCTCAGGATAACTCTTCAGCTATGAGACCTACGCGCTAGCCAACTGCGCCACCACCCCTATTTGTTATAATTACCAAACTTTAAATATTTATAATCAATATATATTTTTTCGATTTTATTATATACTAATTGTAACGTTCATTTAAATAATAAAATGTATTTATCTAAAATACAAAGCATACAATTATCTTATATTGCAATTTACATGTATATAAGTATCAATTACATATAAAATATTATATACATAATTTTTAATTTTCCTCCCGTTGTTATAAAATTTAAAATACTTTAAAAGAAATATTCTTTTCGTTTAGGTGTCCACTTCCAAGGATTACATTAACTTTTTGCGTCATTGTACTTAATATTAAAAATATTTTTATATTTATATAATTTTTTTCTATACAAATGTATTTTTATTAGTATTATAAGACACTAATATAAGTAATATTAATTTTAATATATATATATACATATAAATATTTATTTATGTAAACAAAGCTCAAACTTTTATATTCTTAAATTTGGTTAAAACTCCAAAACATTTAAAAATGACAAAACATGTGTTCTCTCCAAATTTATTTTGGGTTTTAATTTAAATAATTGTTTAAACATTATATTTTATTAAAAATATAATGCAATTTTTTAGAATAATTCACAATAATGATATAGGACTGCAAAAATATTGAAACTATTTTATTAAAAAAAAAAAAAAAAGGAGCATATCCTCTCAAAAGCTGAAAATTATTTCGATTCAATCTACTTCCTCTATCGTTCAATTTTATGCTCACTTTCCTTTTTAAGTTGTTATTGAAAAATATTCTTATTTTTTTTAAGTAAAAAAATATTATATTTTTATACTTTAACATTTATTACTTACTTTTATGAAACATTATAAGCCAAAAGGCAACCAACCGTGACCTTAATTATTTTTGTTATGATTTCCACTTCATTGACTTTAAACTCCTAACTGTCCCGTGAAATAGAGACAGTGCCGCGTCACCGTTTTAGCCATTCGATATATTTTTTATTTTATTTAATTTCTTTATAATTTTGTTTTGATTTGATTAAAAATTTATAATTTTAATTTAAATAATATTTTTTATATGATATTTCATTAAATAAAATAATATTTACTTTCTCCGAATCATATATATTCATTTCTTTACTATCTGTCTAAATCAAATGTATTAATTTTTTTTTAAGTAAAAATATTTTCAACTAAATATCGTATCTTTATTTTTTGTATTTATTTTTTTAGTATCATTATCGTCAAGAATAAAAAAGATTTTATACCTACATATCTATAAAATATTATTTCTTCGTCCGAGTCAAAAGTATCAATTTTGTCATTTTCGTCTTGTCTTAGTTAAGTTTATCTATTTTTTTTTAGTAAAAATATATTTCAATTAAATATCAAAATATCATTTATTTTATTATCTTTGTTCTTTTAATTATATTACAGTCAATGATAAAATATATTTTACATTGTTCTACTGTATATTTATAAAATATTAACATACAAATATATAAAAATAAATACATTTGACTTCAACGGATGAAATAATATATTTAAGGGTGTGTTTCTTTTACTCAATTTTGAAGAAAATTACTGTGCGAACACTGTAAATTTGGGTTTGAATACGAATTTTACGTTATGAGGGACAACTCCTGTGACGGCCGACAGCGGACCGTGGCCGCAAAAGCTGTCATTCTCTCTTTTTTTTAAAAAAAAATAAATTAAAATACAATTTTGCATAGAAAAATAACTTTTAATATTTTAAATAATAATACTTTCTAAAAATATATGCAATATATTTTGTAGATAATAAAATTTGCTATAATACAAATAAATAAAAATTTAAATATATATTGGGTACATTAAAATTCATAATCGGTCATACAATATAAATTTTATCAATTAAATTTAATACACACATTTATATTATTGAATAAATTATATAATACCCTTTTGTGTTTTATTAAAAATACACAAAACACTTTGTATTTTATTTATTGCGTGAACCCTCTTGTGTTAATATAAAGTTTGCCCGAAACACCCTTCTTGTCCAAAACTGGTGTTTAATTCTAAATAAATACCTAAATTACACAAATTTTATATGAATAAAAAACGTAAAATATCTTACTAAATTTTTTGAATAAAATAAATAAATGAATAATTGATCAAGCATTTATTTTTAATAATAATTTGTCTCCAAAAAGCTATAAAATGAAAGATTATTCAATTTTTATTTATTTATTTTATCCAAAAAGATTATTTAAGATATTTTACATTTTTTTTTATATAAATTTACGTAATTTATGTCTTTATTTATAATCAAGTTTTTGACAAAGAGTGTGTTTCGTGCAAATTTTATATTAACATAAGGAGTTTCACGCGATAAGTAAAACATAGAGTATTTTATGCATTTTTAATAAAAACACAAGGGGATGTTATATTATTTTATTCATTATCCATCAAATCAATACCCATCAAAACTCTCAAAACCCGACCAAACTCAAACACAAAAGAAACAACAAAATTCAAACTCATTCCAAAATTCAAATAAAAATCAAACTCAAACCCAAATTTCACCGAACCCAGTAAAGCAACACACCCTAAATTCATCTCCAAAAGTCAAAAGATATATATATATATATATATTGAAACGAATCCATATTGTTATTTTTCCCTTTGATGATAGATGAAATAATTGGGAATGAAAGATGCATAATCTGAAAAGTGACAAAGTTAGTTTCTTTTTAGATTTCTTTTTTCTAAGTATATATTTACAAAATATCATACTCCCTTCGTCTTAGCTAATTTGGACGTATTATTGTAGGCACGAGAATTTAGGTAAAATATGATTAGTAAGTAATTAAAAAATATATTAGTAAAAATAATTATAGATTAAAATAAAGATAATTAAATACTTTATTTTAGATTAAAAAAATTATAAAATATAAAGTTTAAAATGTAATTAAAGTGTATAATTATATTTCCAAAAAAAGAAAGGACAAGTTATATGGGACGGACAAAAATATAAAATAGAGATAAATTATATGGGACGGAGAGAATATAAATTATTAATTAAATTAAAACTTTAAAATAAGAGTTTTTTTTTAAATTGAAAGATATTGATAAAATATTTATTTATTTTTATTAAATATTTTATTAGAAAAATATATATTTATAATTGTGAACTTAAGGTTTCTTTGGTTAATTTTTTATAATAATAAAAGTTTAATTTAAATAATATTTTGATACGATATTTTATAAAATTATAATAAAATAATTAAAAACTGTGTTAAATAGTATTTTCAAATATGTATGATAATTTGAGATTGATATGAATTTTAATTAATATAGTATTATATTGATTGATTATAATATAAATTAAATACTTCATCGGTCCAATATTTATGTATCAATTTGCATTTTGTACGGAGTTTTAGAAATATTAGTACTCCCTCCGTCCCATGTAATATGAGTGTATTACTGTAGAGACGATAATTTATGTAAAGTATAATTAGTAAGTAATTAAGAAATGTATTAATAAAAATAATTATTATTTAGTAAAAGTAATTATAGATTAAGATAAGTAAATAGTTTAATTAAAATTAAGAAAATTATAAAATTTAAAATTTAAAATTTAAAATGCGATTAAAGTGTATAATTATATTTTCAAAAATAGAAAAGACAAGTTACGTGGGACGGGCGAAAATAGAAAATAGGAACAAATTATGTGGGACGGAGGGAGTATTATATTAGACTAAAGTAGAAATAAAAGTAAAAAGACTAAATTAACTTTATTAGTGTTGTATGATATAAATGTAATGACATTTGTGTAATATATTGTAAATTGGAAGAGCATTTGTATTGTTAGTTAGATAGTACAATTACGAAAAAAAATAAAAAATTGATACTTTATTATGGAACTGACCAAAATAAAAAATGAATAAATTGTTAAGGGACGGAGGAAGTATATTTTAAGAGATTATGAGTTAATTAATAAAAGAAAGAGAATTTTTTGATAATTTAATTTATAAGTAATTGTAATATATTTATAAATAAATATAATATTAAAATACGTATAAATTAATAAATATGCAAGAATTATTTATTATTGTTAGAAAATGAACAAACAAAAAAAGAAAAATAGAGATTTTGTTTGGGGGTTTGAATTTTGAGTTGAGATTTGAATAGTAAAAAATTTGAATTTGAATAGTTGTATGATATGATATAAATAGGTGTTGATGTGATGTTTTGAATGTAAAATTGATTTTTAGTATAATATAAAAAATGAAAAATAGGTGTTTGATTTGATATTTTTGGGAGAAAAAAATTAAATGAGTAGTGTAAATCCAATCAAATACCCCAAACAAACACACTCTTAGTAGACTAAGGAAGCACTAATTTTAGTTAGGGTGTGTTTGTAGGTGGATTTTGAATTTTAAGTTTTAAATTATAAAATTTTGAATTAAAATAATTATTTTATGCTATATAAATATGTATTTATATGGAGTATATTTTATTACTTCTCTAGGAATTATTTTTTTGAAATAGTAAAACCTTTTTAAACCTCATAAACAAACACACCTAAGAGTTGGTTTAATTGTAGTTTAAAATTAATTTTAAATAAAATATTCTTTGAATTTTAAATTAAATAGTTTTTTTGATATAATATTTTGTAAAAGAAAATAATATTCTTATAAAAATGTACATGTTAAATTTGTATAAATTTTTGTATAAATATCTTTCTATTGGTATTATAAGACACTAATAAAAATATTTTTACAAATTTTTTTTAATTTATATTATATTTTGATATAATAATTAATATTAAAAAATCAACAATAAAAAAAACCCTAAATTCCTACAATTGGAAAGGAGGTAGTAATATTTTATTTAAAATAAAAATAAACACACAGTCCATTAATATTTTTTTTAAAAAAGTGAATAAAAAAACAAAAAATCCAAAAAAAATAAAAATAAAAATACAATGAAGTGTACGAAAACCCAAACCCTCCTTTTTGTCATCTAAAAAAATAAAAATAAAAATAAAAATAAAGGTCCTTTCTCTTTCTCAATAGATTCACATTCTCATCAATGGAGATTGGAAGCTTTTTCCTTACGGATCGCATGGAAAATCAGACGAGACTTCTCTCCTCCTCCGCTCGCGAATTCTCCAGAAGATTCTGCGGTTTGCTTCTCTTGCTTTGCCTCCTCTCCTTCCTGCTCGTGAATTCCGACGCGGTTTCCTCAGACGAGGCGGTCGCTAGGGCGATGAATCCACGGCGGTCTAATTCGTATCCATTTTCGTCGGAACAACCTATTGGAAATGGAGGTGCAAATATTGGTTACTCTGCAGTCGGTGATGATAGATACTATCGTGAAATTCCGAGCGGACCAAATCCTATTGGCAACAGGTAATTTTAATTATAACTCATGAAATAGTTGCAGATCGACGCCGGCGGTTGTGATCGGTCAGTCATTGGGGAAGAAGAAATTAGGAATATCGCCTAGAGTTGTTATCAATATCGTTAATGTTAAATCACATATACATACATCAGTAGTCAGTCAGTCAGTCTCCATTAATTCTGCTTTTGTGTGAAGTTTGTTACATTCTGCTCTGTATCTCATCAACATCCTCCTCTTAAGGGTGTGTTTGTTTGAAGGATTTTGATGGATTTTCACTATTCATCCAATTTTTTTCCCCTCAAAAACATCAAATCAAACACCTATTTTTCATTTTTTATATTATACTAAAAATCAATTTTACATTCAAAACATCACATCAAACCCTATTTATATCACATCATACAACTATTCAAATCCTACCTCAAAATCCAAACCCCCAAACAAACACACAAATATATATATCTAAAGGCATTTATTCCTTCCTCAATTTTCCTATACAAGCACAACTGCATTGCATACCATATAACCATATATATCTGTGTATGTGAGTTTATTGTTGCATATTTGAGTAATTTGTGAAGCAAACCTCCAATTGAATTTAACCTAGTTGGAGCTTGTGTATTGTGGTCAGGAGAACGAAGGAAAGTTAAACACGATCGAAATTATCTGCCTCTCTCTCTCTCTCTGATGTTTCTGTAATTCTGTGATAGAGATTCGATCGATCATGAGTAAATTCATACTGTTCGTAGTGTGAATTCGCCGGCGATGAGTTGGACGCCTGAAGAACCTTTTTACAATATTCTAGAGAACTGATTAATAATAATAATAATAGTAATAATTTATGTTTGTTTGGAGGATTGGATTTTAAATACATTATTCATCTCAATTTTTTCTCCCCAAAAAATATCAAATCAAACAACTATTTTTTATTTTTTATATTATACAAAAAATTAATTTTATATTCAAAATATCACATCAACACCTATTTATATCACATCATACAACTCAAAATCCAAACCTTAAACAAACACACCCTAACAGAAAATCATTTGAGAATAATGAGAACATATTCTTTTTTATAAAATAAAAATATATATATATATATACACTTTTCAAAACAAATTAATATATTACATATATTTATTATTTTTATATTATATGCATAATTTTTTATACCTCATATAATATATATATATATATCGTCAAACTATTTTCTAATTTCATATGCCTCAGCACTAAATATCACCACAGTAAATGATCTGAGGTGTGTAACGTTGTATATTTGTTTAATACTTTTATTATTAATGATCAATAAATTTTTATTTAGATAAATTAAAATGATAAAAGGATGAAAGAGTATTATTATTTTTTATTTACTATAAAATTTCAGATAATTTCTTTGAATTGGCACAGATAGAATAGCTTTTTAAAAATTATTCAAAATAATTCTAAATTAACCTATGATACTCTCTCCTCCGTTTTACATATTATTTTTTTTAAAAAAGAAATATGATTGTATATTTTAATTACATTTAAAATTTATAATTTTTTTAATTTTAATTATTTTTATTATACAATAATTATTGTTACTTATATATTTTTTAACGACTTACTGATTATATTTTACCTACATTTTCATATCTATAGTAACATCAACATATTATTTGGGATTGGAGAGTATTATATAGTCAAAATATAATAATATTATATATATCCTATGATTTTGTGAATTTAATTTAGTGTTCGATTCATTCTAATCCTATTTAAAGTCGTCTACTTTCATATGTACATATAATCTTGCTGAAAAATTCATCACAAATTTGGGTCATTATTCATAAATTTCACCAATATATTTTTATTGAAGGCAATGTATTAGTGAATTGTTGTAATTAGTGAGATTTACTGTGCAAAATAATAATAATAATAATAATAATAACAATAATAATAATAATAATAAGTTAATCCATTTAATCTATTTGAAGGTTTAGACAATATAATAAATAGACTATATATATATATGATTTGATAATTACAGTAATCCCATTCTTCCTTCCAACACTATGGTCTATAAAAATACACCATCACCAAAGTACACACAACAAATAAAAATATATAAAAATATAAAAAAAATATATATATATAAAAAATGGCAATGAACAAACAATCTGTAGCCTTCCTCTTCGCAGCTCTTTTATTCGTGGCAATCGGTACGCACTTAGATTTGTTTAGTTATTATTTCAAATTCAACATTGATTTGAATTTTTATTTAAATAATATTTTGATACAATATTTTATTAAAAAATAATCTATTTTATTAAAAAGTGTATATGATAAATATTATTAATTTCAATTTAAAATTATTAATAAATTTGAATTGTATTGTCTTTGTATTTTGCATTTGTATAGTAATTTACTATAACTGTTTTATATATATATATATGTATATTCTCTTCATTTCACATTATTTGTCCATCGTTTTTATTTTTGTCTATTTTATATAATTTGTTATTTTCTTCAAAAAAATCTAATTATAAAATTTATTTTTTTAAAATTTTAATTAAATTATTTAGTTATTTTAATTTTAATCTATAATTATTTTTACTAATAAGGAACAAAATAAGTATTATTTATAACACTTTAATATTTATTTATTTATTTTTAATGGGCCTCAAGCCAAGTCATTAGTTTTTAGTGTAAAAATCATTTATATATATATATAATTATATTTTTTTTCCAAAAATATTAAACTTATCATCTTTTTATCTCTTTTTTTTTCTTTGTTTGTATTTATGTGTATATATATAATAATATTAATTATTTTTGATGATTAATATAAATATATATATATATATGTATATATATGTTGCAGTAACAGCAAATTCAGAAGGGATTAATGGAAGAAGCTTGAAATTGAAAGATAGCAATGAAATATTAGCAAGTGGAAGTGGAAGTGGAAGTGTACCTTGCTTGAATGATAAAGAATGCATCAAACAATGCCCTAAAGGATGTAAGAATATCCAATGCATTGCAAGAGGTTGCGTTTGTACTGGTTGTCATCAGACCCTTTATTAATTAATTTATTATATATTATATATAGACACATTTGAATAAATTTAAATATATTTCAATCTTTTACTATTATATATATCTTTCATTTGAGATGTTTTAAAATTTCTGCAATTTTCATTTACTTTGTTTGTATCTGGATTTTTATTTTTATTTTTTATTTTGTCTAAATATAATTTGTAAACTTATTTAAAAAAATAATAACGACAAGAGGTTAAAAAGAAAAAACCTATCAAATTATATAATTAAAAAAAAAAATCTGTCCAAAATAAATAAAATATATATCGAGACTAAAGAATGATAATTTAACCTTGCTTTTACATTACAAATTCCCATAAAAGTTTGATGAAATTAGTAACAAACTAGCTTGTTATGTATGGTACAATTATAAAATTTATAATATAATAATATATAATTTAAATTTTTTTTAAAAAAGCCAACAATCAACAAAAAAATAAAAAATAAAAAAATTGCAAAATTTTCTCTAGGGAACAAATAACAATTAAAATATTTGTAAAATTTAATAAAAAATAAAAATAATTAATCACTTTTTGATTAATTTGCAGAACATGTGACAATTGAAGTATTATAAAATATACTAAAATAAATTCATATAAAATTATTTATACACAATAATAAGAAAAAAAATAAAAGTAAAAAAGTATAAACAAATACTCATAATAATTGATATCTTCTAAAAAAATGATAAGATTAAATATAAAAAAATCAAAAGAAATATAATAAAAATATTATATTTACATTGTTTATGTCTAAAAATTGTGAAAAAAAATATTATAACAATGACATTTGAAAAACCACACATATTTAATATTTGCATCTTGTACAAAAAAAAAAATATATTTTCATCTTCATTTTTACCAAAAATAGTATAAGGTGAAAAAATTATTAGAAAATTAACACGAAAAACAACAAACAACACACATTTAAAACTAAAATAAAAAATTAAGTTCTTATTATTTGATATTTTTTTTGTTTCTTGCACTGTTATCTGCATTGTATATATGATCTGCTGCATTTTTATCTTCTATTTTTTTTTCTTCCTTCTGTATGCCTAAAAATTGTGAAATTTTATTTATAAAATTACCAAATATAGTATTAGAATATTAACAAAAATATTAAAACATTAACACTAACAAAATAATACACATAAATAATAAAATAAATACGCAAATATATGTATACAAATAAAAATAATTCAAGAATATTTAATTAATATATATAATATTTTTAACTATCACAAAATATCTGAATATTATAAAAAGTTATCCAAATAATTAAACATTTAAAATCAACAATAAAATTTAATATAATAATTTATTCATATTTATATAAGTTAACAACACTTATCCAAATATTATAAAATAATTATAATTACAAAATCAAAATAAATATAAATATAAAAAATTTAAAAAAAACTTAACGAATTTGATGATTGACGCAACAACTGACTATTCGTGAACATTTTCAGCATCCAGATTGCACTATCTCCTAAAACGTCAAACCTTGTGAATACAATAAAAAATAAAAATAAAAATACATAGGATGAAAGATAAATTACAGTAGCAATCGAATTGTTCGATTAACATATCTCAACAAATAAATAGAATAAATCAAAAGAGAGAAAAAAAAATAATATTTTAATGAATAGTAAAATTTTAGACAAAATCTTTCAACAGTAAAATTGATCTAGGCGAACTATGTGTAGGTCACATGTTTACCCCTACACCGGCACGTCATCCCTTACGAGATGATATTATGTGTATTTGTAATAGTATGTTTATAATTTATGTCAAAATTAAGAGTATTTTTTTATTAATGTACAATTGATCTTAATATAATAAAAAATAAGTAAATACTTTTTGTGTCACAAATAATAATGATAAAAAAAAAATGGTTTTAGTTGAGACAAGGAATATATGATTCGTTATTTTGTCTACTCTATGTTATATTTTGTTATTAGTTATGATGTTTTAAAGATAAAATAATTATTTTTCAAAATAAAAGCACGTATGCCTGCATGCACGTATTATTAATTCATATAATATTATTACACGTACATATAATTGACGATTAATTAGGCTTGACGCAGTTAGTACAAAGACAGATGCCTTCATGGCATTGGATGCTCTGACAATTTTTTGCGCACACTTTCACGCAATCTTTGTCAACTTTGCATGAACTTGCAAATATATTATTATTATTATTACTATCATTTCTCATGCTTTGTCCATTGATTTCTTCGGAATCGACCGCTGCAATAAAAAAAATATATTATCAATAACTATTATGATAAAACAAATTACGGTAGTAAATCAATTTACTTATAATTTACTTATGGTTTTAAAAAATTATATGATTTTTCCTTATAATTTAGAACCGGTAAATATGAGGAAAGGTTGCAAAGTTTTTTAAATCACGAAAAAAATTATGCAGACTTTCTAAATTACAAATAGATTATAAGTAATTATGTCTGATAAATTTAACAATAAAAGTAGATACAAACCAAATGCGATGAGCAAAATGGTGACGAGAAAGAGGACGAGAGCTTGTTTGTTCATCGCCATTTTTTACAGATCAATATAATATATATATATATATGTATGTATGTATGTATATGAGCGTATATGTATATTTGTTGTTGTGTGTGGAGAAGATGAT